TGTGTGTGTGTGTGCGCGCGCGCGCATTGTGTGGATTGATAGATTGAAAGATGTAAATAGTGATAGAAAGACAGACATTTTTAACGATCATAGCTGTCGTAGATGCAATACGGTGGCTGGTGCTTCATATATATGAGATTTAAATATCAAGTAAAAATTGGAAAAATCCCAGAGAGAAAGAAAGAAACAAAGAAAGAGAGAAGGAAATGAAAAAACAAAAGAAAAGAAGAAAGAAAGAAAGGAAGAATGAACGAAAAATCGAAAGAAAGAATAATATCGAAAGAGAAAAAGAGGAAGAAAAAGAAGAGGAGGAGGAGGGGGAGGACAAGATGGACGGAGCAGAAGGAGAAAGACGACCATCATAATCGCAATGAATAAGAGGAATGTGGTGGTGCTTGCACTAGGGGTATGGTTATTATCCTTGAGTGTTGATGCTATCGATCTGCTACTTTGGCAGCGCTCACTCTCACCTCTCTGTTTTCTTCTTACTAATAATGCTTCACGCAGCCTCGAGCAGTCTCGCCTCGGGCGAACCTCGCACAGGCGTGCTCCATATATAGACCATGCCAGAGGGCATTACAGTTTTTCCTCTCCCTCTCTCTGTCTCTGTCTCTGTCTGTCTGTCTGTTGGGTTTTTTTTACGGATGCGTGGGAGAAACAAGTAAATAGTATAATTCATGTCATCGGGCTGCTGCTGCTGCTGCTGCTGCTGAGGATGTTGATGATGATAATGATGATGATGATAACGATGATGACATTGATAACACTATAATATATTAAGGATTATAATAGACTGGTATTATTTTTCCCTTTCTCTTTAAAACACTTCCGATTTTAGACTTTTCTTGAAACAAAATACCAGAGTTATGTAATGTTTGATGAAGAAGGACGAAAGAATTACAATCATGCTTTCAGTTAAAGAAAAGAAGACAGTTTGCGTGACGTAAATCACTCCCAGGTGCCAGAGCATTGTCTGTGACAAAAACGTGCGTGGGTCAGACAGAGCTTATCTGAACCTGTTCCTACCACCGTCATATGCCTATAAGAAATGCCAATTTCTACTTCTTCTGGCAGTTTCGAAAGGAGGATACAGTGTCTGTTAGTGCATAGTGCGTGTGTGTTTGTGTGCGTGAGTGTACATTTGTGTTTGTGTGTGTGTGTGTGTGTGTGTGTGTGTG